CACCACTCATTAGCACATTAGGCCACACCCCCATGTTACCAGAAGTGTGGTCATCCAGCCACACCCACCTTTCCCTTCTTATTCTGTTTACCTTGTTTGTTGTCAAAACCCAGGGCTTTTTTTGTACCAGGAACTCCTTTGCATGTTAGGCCACACGCCCCTAATGTAGCCAATCCTAATGAGTTTCTGCTATTGGGTGTGGTCTATTGTGCTAATGAGTTCCTGCTGGGCGTGGCCAACTCAGGAGCCAGCCGGGAACTCCGTTCCTGTGCGTTCCTGCCCAAAAATAGCCCTGCTTACACCTTATACCAACAGGAAACACTAATTCCAAGTGTGCAGTGGCCCAAAACCTTCTCTATCTATACTGTTATATTCTGCGTGTCAAAGCATAAGCATATACAAATAAAAGCATGAGCAGGGGGACTTGGTCCTAAGATCAGATTTCCATTTGGTAGCGGTAGAAGGACAGAGTGCCCCTGACACCACTTCTCTTTGATCACAGTTATAGTGGCAGAAAAGAACAGGGAACATGCTCCCCACGGAGATCAGGGCCCTGCGGGATCTTTCTCTGTTCCGCAGGGCCTGCAAGACGGAGCTCTTCCGCCAGGCCTTTGAGTAGGAGCCGCCGCCACCATTGCTCCATCATTGCTATCTATGCACCATCACACCATCACCACCACCATCTGGTTCCTTCGGGGTGCGAGGTGACCCTGGCAGGAGAAGGGATGACAGACTATGGGAGTGCTACCGTTGGGATTAAGACCTACCCCATTTTGTGATCAATGGAGCAGTGATATTTTGTTATTATATCTTATTGTTTTATTGCTATGCTGTTTTTATTTGTTTTAATCTTGGCACTCTGTGCCTCTAGTTAGCCACCCTGAGCCTTCGGCAGGGCTATTTTTGGGCAGGAACGCCAACACCCCCAACAGCAGGAACTCATTAGGATTGGCTACATTAGGGGTGTGTGGCCTAACATGCAAAGGAGTTCCTGCTACAAAAACAAGGTAAACAGAATAACAAGCAAAAGGTGGGTGTGGCTGGATAACCACACTTCTGGTAACATGGGGGTGCGGCCTAATATGCCAATGAGCTGTGCTGGCCGGGGGCATGGCCTAATATGCTAATGAGTTTCTGCTGTTGGGTGTGGCCTATTATGCTAATGAGTTCCTGCTGGGCTTTTTCTACAAAAAGAGCCCTGGCCTTCGGGGTAGGGCGGGATATAAATCCAAAGATAAATAAATAAGATAATAAAGAAACAAATAAACAAACAAACATCTATTGTAATATTTCACAAGTTAGTAAATGTATCCAAGTTCCAATATTCATGACCTGAAAGGCATTTTTCTACATGTCATTTTCGCAAAATCACTGATAACATCCTCGAAATGAATACCTCTCAGAAGGTCTGCTTCAGTTGTTAACATACACAGTGAGTTGAGCCTTTCTTTAAGCATAGCTGATCTATTTGGGGTTTTTTACACGTTTCAGTTGTGAGAAAGACCTCTCTGTTGTGCACCCTTTTCCCCAACTTCGTGGTGCCCCCTCTGGCCCTGGTGCCCTAAGCACGTGCTCAGTCTGCTTCATGGTTAATCAGCCCCTGGCTCCAGAGCAAATTAATTGATGCAGTAGCAGAATTTTTGCTTACAGGACTCCACAGCTTAGCGGGAGCATTGCCTGGAGGTTGGCAACCCTGTCACCAGGTCACTAGAGGGCAGGAGGCAGCCAGAGCCGAGCCTCGCGTTGGCTTTCGGCAGCAAATCCAGAACTCCTTCTCCGTTTCCTTTGTTCCCATGTATCGTCCACCCTGGGACCACGTGGTCTGGCCGGGCCTTTTTCTTAGCTTCACAAGCGCCACAGACAATTGGACATCATGTTTCATATCCCTGTTTCACAGACTGAGGAACAGAAGTCAAAACAGCACAGGGGTGTGCGTCTTGTCAGAAACGGAGGCGAGTTTGGTGTAGTGTTTAGAGCAGAGATCCCCCAGTCTTTTTGAGCAGAACGGGCCCCTTTGAAATTCTGACACAGTGTGGTGGAGGTGGCCACAAAATGGCTGCCGTGGGAGGCAGAGGCAGACACAAAATGGCCACCACAGGAGGCAGACACAAAATGGCCGCCACAGGAGGCAGACACAAAATGGCTTTCAGCCACACCATGAAGATCCTTGTGGCGTTGATGGCCGTGGCTGCCAGCTGCTGCCAAAGCAACGATGTTAAAGATCTGCTCAGCCAATCAGAAGCCCCGCTGGGCAAAAGCCCCACTTGGTCCCAACCTTCTTTCTAAAAACACTCGGGCGCCGGCACAATGCTCCCTCTAAGCCGCGGCGTCTTGTGAGCAAAATTCTTCCTTTGTGAGCTGCTGGCATTAAAGTTGTGAGTGAGCCATTTGGCTACGGGATAAATGAGTTTGCTCTGGAGCCACCCTTCTTCCCGAGCTCAGACAAAAACCTGTGAGCCGGAGGCTAAAAAGCTGTCAGCAAGCTCACACTAACTTGGCTTAGAGGGAGCACGCGGCCACCAGGGAACGTGTCAGTGGGCAATATAATGTGCCCACGGGCACCATATTGGGGACCCCAGGTTAGAGCTTCTGACGATGGCTGGGGAGACCGAAGCCTGCCTCTGCCAAATTGCCCCTTGGCCCTGAAACTCAGTGGGTGACCGGGGGCCGGTAATGATCTCTGAACCCAACCTACCTCTCAGGGTCGGTGTGAAGTAGGTCATGCAGGGCTTTTTTGGCACAAAAAGCTCAGCAGGGACTCATTAGCATAATAGGCCACACCAACAGCAGAAACTCATTAGCATATTAGGACACACCCCTGACAGCACAGCTCATTGGCATATTACGCCACACCCCCACGTTACCAGAAGTGTGCTCATCCAGCCACACTCACCTTTTGCTTCTTATTCTGTTTAGAACATAAGAACATAAGAGATGCCAATGTTGGATCAGGCCAAAGGCCCATCCAGTCCAACACTCTGTGTCACACAGGGGCCAAAAATACCAGGTGCCATCAGGAGGTCCACCAGTGGGGCCAGGACATTAGAAGCCCTCCCACTGTTGACCCCCCCAAGCACCAAGAATATAGAGCATCCCTTGCCCCAGATATAAGAACATAAGAGAAGCCCATGTTGGATCAGGCCAAAGGCCCATCCAGTCCAACACTCTGTGTCACACAGTGGCCAGAAATACCAGGAGCCATCAGGAGGTCCAGCAGTGGGGCCAGGACACTAGGAGAACCTCCCACTGTTGACCCCCCCAAGCACCAAGAAGACAGAGCATCACTTGCCCCAGAGCCCCTATCTATACCTTGTGGCTAATAGCCACTGATGGACCTCTGCTCCATATGCTTATCTAATTCCCTTTTGAAGCTGTCCATGCTTGTAGCCGCCACCACTTCCTGTGGCAGTGAATTCCAAGTGTTAATCACTCTTTGGGTGAAGAAGTACTTCCTCTTATCCGTTCTAACCCGACCGCTCAGCAATTTCATGGAGTGCCCACGAGTTCTTGTTTACCTTGTTTGTTGTCCAAACCCAGGGCCTTTTTTTGTAGCAGGAACTCGTTTGCATGTTAGGCCACACACCTCTAATGTAGCCAATCCTAATGAGTTCCTGCTGTTGGGTGTGGCCTATTATGCTAATTAGTTCCTGCTGGGCGTGGCCAACTTGGGAGCCAGCCGGAACTCCGTTCCTGTGCGTTCCTGCCCAAAAATAGCCCTGATCATGTATGCCATTCCTTGAGCTCCTTGAAGGAAAGACAGGATACAGATCTAATGAACAGCAACAGTTATAATTTTAAAAGCACCAAAGATCCGAGGGCGGCTCTTGAATCAAGGCTGCTATTCTTAACTCAAAACCAAACTAAATTCTAAACCATCCTCTGCCATTCTGAATTCTGCAGTGAGAGTTGGCAGTCCAATTGCAGGTTGCAGGAGAGCCAGTTCGGCGTAGTTGTTAAGAGCCGTGGACTCTAACCTGGGAGAACCAGGTTTGATTCCCCACTCCTCCTCCACATGCAGCCAGCTGGTGTGACCTTGGGTCAGTCACAAGTTTTCTCAGAGCTGTTCTCTCACGAGCAGTCCTCGAAAGAGCTCTCTCAGCCCCGCCTCCCTCACAGGGTGTCTGTTGTGGGGAGGGGAAGGGAAAGGAGATTGCAAACTGCTCTGAGTCTCTAAGTGAAGGGCGGGGTATAAACGCAACTCCTCCTCCTCTGTAACTTTTACAGGATAACTGGGGGGTGGGGGTGAAAATGGAAGAGCCCACACGTTTCTGCCCTGTCTCTCCCTCTTAATCTCACTGGGGCTTCTGCAGGAGAGCTGCCCTTATAGGCAGGGGTCATTTCGTAGAAAAAGAGGTGCAGGAGCTCATTAGCATAACTCATTATCATAACTCATTTGCATATGCCACACCCCCTGACATTACCGGAAGTGTGTCAGAAGGCAACACCCACCACTCAGG